CTTCATCAGCAGTTGATGGTGAAAAGCTGGGATTTGTGATAAGCCTAAGGTATAGGCTAAGGTATAGACATAGAGTCTCTTCTGCTGGTTGAAACTTGAGGGGTGGTATCTACCACCAGTGCTAGACAAAGAGCTAGAGAGGGAGCAGGGAAATCTGTTATATTTAGATCTGATTAATCACTGTAGGAGAGAAAGTCATCCTTGGCACTCTAGGCTAAGTTTTGAGAGGATGCACATACCTTGCCATTTGAATTAAATCTCTTCCTGTTATAATTTAAAAGATTACCAGAGTACTAATGTGAAGCAAAAGCACTTTCACATTAGTGAAGGTTTGTCTTCTCCTGACGTCAACATATTGGTTGAACCAACAACCTCTTGAAAAATCAAGAATGAGGTTCAGACAGACTTTCTGCTTGGTTGGAACACACATAACCCTTAACTGAATCTGGTACATCAATATCTGATTTTTCAGATACTGAATCTTCTTGCTCCTCTATGTAACATGTATTTAAGCAACAGAAATAAAATTTATATAGTGGCACAGCATACATAGTCCAACATTTGTTTTACCCTAAGAAGCATATATAAAATGCTATTGGAAATAATTTTGATTTCTAACCAAGTTTGAGTACTTAACCACTAAGATGTGTATAAAGTGTATTTTCTCATCAGTTAGGGTTTAGGTTTGAACAAAACTGAGTTAGAGTTCACTTAATATTGCTGAAAACTATGACTTGTTGGATTTTGATCAAAATAGAAGTAGTTTTCCAAGATAAACATTTAAATCAAGATTTCAGCCATTTTTTGCCAAGATCTCACTAGACTATCTTTTCTTTTTTTTTAACTTTTTTTGGTTGGCTTTATCCACTGAAAAGAAGAGGAAGTAGGCACTTTCTGGGTTTAGAGCACACATGGAATATGATAGGATCAGACATCTTAGGATTCAGGTTCCGGGAAGGCTTTTCTAGTAACTAAGGGACCCTTTGAAGTCTTTAAAATGAGATTCCAAAGGCAACAGAGCGTGGAAAGTCCTAAAGCATCATCCTGTCGTAGTCATAAATCCTCTTGGATAGAGTCAAAATAAACTGATTTTTGCTGCCTTTTTTTCTGAACAAAATCAAATACAATCTGGCAAAATTCATAAACACAAACGGAAATTAGAGAAGGAGAAAGCAGTAATAAGGAGAGATTTATTTTCTATTAAAGATAGAGTTAACAAATTGCCATATTATCTCCAAGATTTGTTCAGTCACTCTCACTTTTTACAATCATGAATTAAAAAAGTCTGTTTTGTGTGCCCACTTGGATTATTTTACATGAACAAGATACAAAATTTATTTTTTAATAAAAAGCATATAGTTTAGGCTTGGAGAAGGTATAATAAGAGACTGTCGAAGAGAAAAAATTTTATGAATAATGACAGATTTTTCTGGGTGACCTCATCTCTTGGCTGCTTCCTAATTCTTGCTTTAGTTTTTCAGTATGTGACTCAGTTCTCACTCTGCCTTTTAGTTTTCAGAATGAAAGCAAAGCTGTCAGGTGCAAAGTGATTTCCTCTGCTCAGTGGGGATCACTGTCCTCTGATTTGCTGTTTACTCTTGAGTTATCACCTTTATGTCTGCCAGAAGGCTCTACTGCTTTCTGAAGTGTGCACAGAATAACATTCTTCGGGTACCTAACAAGGTCATCGCTGTTGTAAACAGGATTCAATTATTTGCTTTCACTGAAACAGTACACACGTGTTTCTTGGACTAAGTAGTTAACTTCTAATGCGTTTTGAAACAAGTGAATGATAAATACAGATTAATTACAATTGGTGAGTGAGGATTTGGTTCAGTACCTAATTTTGTCATGGAATTTCAATCCACATACATCTAATACAGTAGCTTTTGAATTAAAGTCTTAGGAAATTTTCACTTTCATTATTTTTGTTGTTACTTCCATAGGATGCGTATATATAATATATATTTTATTTTGTATTACTAGAGATGATATACAAAGACCCTAATTCCTCACTGTCTTGGCATTCTTACATTCACAGTCTTGACTGATGTGAGAAGCTCTGTGAATTCTGGCACTTGCCAAAGTTATGATGAAGTTATAATTCTACAGACATTTCTCCATGTGAAGATTGCTCTTCACATTATTTGTGCTTCACAGTTCATGGGCTGAAAACAAGTAGTTGACTGTCTGCAAAACTGTAGGTAAGCTATGATAGTTAAAAATAGGAATTTTTTCTTGTTTTCATTTTAGTAGCACATGTTAGTGATTCAAAAAGGAAAAGGGTTCCTTTTGTTTATTATGTAAGTGGAAAATTAGGATAAAATAAGAGGATACTTCTCGGAGCAACACTTTTCGTACCCACTGGTTAATTTGACTGCAGCTGTTCTGGGATTCCATCCTGAGAACCAGGTCTGATTTACCTTTTACTAACTTTCAGAACTGGAAGTCACTGAACAAGAATAATTGAATGCCCAGATTAATACATCTTTGTAATGGGTATGATTTTAAAATGATGCTTTTCAGATACCCCGGATAAAATAGCCTGTTTTCTAATCTAATGTTAAAAATTTTGCTTAGGGAAGGTGTATTAGTCCAGCTGGGGTTTTCTGGTTTTGTTTTTTTCCGTTTAGTCTTCTAATGTTAAAAATTTTGCTTAGGGAAGGTGTATTAGTCCAGCTGGGGTTTTCTGGTTTTGTTTTGTTTTTTTCCCCTCATATCCTATTATTTTCTTTATGGTATTTTAGTATAGAGCCATAAACACATCTTCAAAAAGGCTTCTTACATGTTCTGTTGAATAGAGGGTATGACAAAAAAGAAGTTTTTCACAATACTAATTTTTTTAGTTTCTCAGAAAATCTGATTTATCAGTGTTCACATTTTTCCAGTCCTCTTTGTCTATATTTCCCTATTCTACTTGTCCAACAAAAGCATTTGGATATTATTTCCTGGTATACAATAGATAAATTGCAGCAAGAGACTTAAACTTAAGATGGTGGGAGACTTCCCACATACTTTAGTTAAATTTAGTGGAGACAGTTCATCATAGCACACAACAGTTACCAGATAACCATTCAAGTATTAATTGTTTTTTCTCCTGATACTCATTGCATTTACCAGAAAAAGAATTCAAGATTTCTTTCACAGCAATATAAATGTAAGGGTTTAACGACTCAAGGTTGCCTTTCTGTAATTTGTAATAGGTAGTTACCATCACAAAATATTCATAAAGTGTTCAGAAAACTACAAGAAAATGGATTGCCTTTAGCACAAGATGATCTGATATTCTCTAATGGTTTCACTACAGAATGTTTCAGGGTGTCATTAGTGTGCTTCAGCAGCATGGGATCCTGCAGAGAATTGAGAACCTTTACTTGAATTTGAAATAATGCTAAATTACTAACAAAGTTTTTACTTTAGCAGCATGGAACTAAAAAAAGCAAATTTATGTAATTATTCAGCTCTATATGCTGTCATAATCTCTTTAAAGTGTTTGTAAATAATAACAGAAAAAATTGGGTACAGTGGATATTCACTTATCTGCAAAAAATTTAGAAGAAACTATTTCAACAGTCAGGAACATTTTTTCCCAGTGATTTTTATGGGAGCAACATTTCACTTTGAAACTAGCCCTATGGATCTCTATTGTAGCAATGTCCTCCTGAAACTCAATGGGAGTCGTCTTGAATATGGACCAAATAATTTATTTGGCTGCTGGCCATGTGTTGTCTTTCGGAGGAATATGGTGGTTCACTACGTAATAGTGTAGGAAGAAAGACATATGGAAACAAATTTAAAACGAAACAGTAACATTAGTCAATGAAGTTTTAACCACACAAGTTGCCAAGCACTTAATGTAATCATGAGGTAAAGAAATAAATTATGAAGCCCGTTAGCCAGGCACTTAGCATGCAAAAGTACTGTTCTTATAGAAAATAAGCAGTCAACTTCAGTTGAAAGCTGAATCACGCTAACAGTTCTTGAAGTTTGATTTCTTTTGCTGCTGCTGTTATAAAAAGCACAATGATATGTACAACCTACATTAAAACTGTATTTAATAGCATCCTTGGAAATGTATTTGTCCTTTCAGTTGACTATAAACACTAGAGCAGCATGTCTCTGGCCCCTTTTCCTTATAACTTTGTTTTGAATTATGCAGTGTAATCCTATGTATTTTCCTGTTGTATCTTAATAAGGTAATGTCTTTTCAAGTAGATGTTATATTTCTCTAAATAAACAATGTATTTGTAATAACATGAAGACCAAAGTGGCAAAAATAGTGACTGTAAAATTGATGCCTTCAAGTGTAAATGAAAGATACGTAGGTATTTGTGTGAAAAATACAGATTAGTACAACAATTTTTTTTTTTGCCAGTTCAAAAATTCTATTTGGTACAGCTTTGCAAAGTATTTTATGTCCATTCTCTCTAGATGAGTCATGTTTTCGGAAGAAAGGGGGGAGAATATTTTTTCAGCATCATGATCATTGTAATAATGAACTGCAGAAACTATAATAGATTTTGTTCCTGGCTTGGCAAACTATCTAAAAGATTTTGCAAGAGAGTTTACATAATTCTTTCCATTGAACTTTCTAGTATTGCATATGTTTTAATTGTTAACTCAAACACACCGAACTTTAGGTAGTTTGCGGACTATATAAATGTGGTTTAATGTTTCATAAGTATTCTGAGAGCAGAGTTTGTGGTTATACATTTTCATACTTACAACCTTAATTCACTTGTTAAAATAGGCTCTCTGCTTGCTAATAGTTACCAGCTGTAACTAATACATTAGCAGATCTACAATGTAGTATTTAAAATGACGCATTTCAAAATCAGTAACAAATGTCCTGCTGTAGGATTAATTGGAAAGCTTGTCTTATACAATGGTCAGTACACTATACAAAATTCTTTTGAAATTACTATAAATCAAGGAATAGGAAACAATGATGTGTAAATTTCTGAAAACTTAGAAATAGGAAAAGCAAAAATATTACTTACTGTAGTTGTTGTTTGCTTCTCTTGTCCCTTTTACTTTGCCTCGCTTATCAATCCTCATATACCACTGAGTTCGACAGAAAAGTCTTCTCACTCTTACATCCCCCCCTTCCATATAATCATAGCTTCTGGTATGTCGCTCAGGGCTGGAACAGTTCACATTTGTAGCCATTTGCTCTGGAGTCATGTCATTGCAAGCTAAAGATATAGTGCCCATTAGAAAGATAATGTAAAAGTATGATCTGTAGAGCAAAATTGGCAGGATCCATGTCAGTATCCATTTGTGCATTATAGTGCAGTGTTCTGGGTGTTCATGAACAACATAATGAAAATTAAATCTCAAGTAGACTGTTGCTCTTAGGTCACCGACCTGCCTTCTGTCTTTACGAGTTACAGATTCATTTAAATGAGATTGTTCCCTCTTCTAGAATTCTGATCGTTATTCCTTAATAGTTAATGGCGAAATAGAAGAGCTTCTTAAATATCTCTTCAGTCAGAATATCCTTTAAAGACACAAGTTATAAAAACCTTTGTTGTCGTGACCTTCTGTACTACTTGAATTTGCTGCTTGCACTGAAAGTAAAAGATCTGTGAGAAAAGGTGCATGTGTAAGTCTTTATGCTCAATTGTTACAAACGTGCAAGGATACATTATGCTACTGAAAAGTACTGTACGTAAATGTATGACGTGCTAAGCTGATTTTTAAAAATACGCAAATGTATATACAACAGATATCTCTCACACAACTTTTTACATAAACAGGCATTTAAACGGATTGTAAACATAGTTCTGTCTTCAGTTTTAAGTCCTTCCAAAAATCCCTTATTGATGCAGTTGAACTACTTTCTCATGCACGGTAAAATTCTGCTGATTACTTCATACCTATATATTCACTAGTAGCACAATCTATCGGATAACTTTTCTCTATTTCAAATTTCAAAACAGACCTCATAGTCTTCGCCCTGTATTTTTACTCCTACCCTTTTCAGTTTATTACTAGAAATAGTTTTCTTAATGCTTTTTTAGCATCTAGCATATACAAATGAAGATAAAAGTTATTAGCTATTAGAAACCGTTGAATGTTCTTGTAAAGGACAGATAACTTACTTGTTCCTGTTGATAAGAGCTGGATACCCAAGTATTCCATTTCTGTTGTCTGCTTTTTGCAACATGAGACACTCTACTGTAGCTACAAACTTTCTCAGCTCAGAAAGACTCCACCAGAATTATAATTGTTTCCATAAATCAACACGCTGGAGAGATGGTGTGTATGTGCTTATGCGTGCGCGTGCATGTGTGTGTTGAGCCTGTTGTTCAGTCCTTTTCGATAAATACCTTTGCTGACCTCACTTGGAAGCAATTAGAATTTAACCAGTCAGCTGTCAGTTGAATGCACGAACAAAAATAAAGGGAGACTTGCATTGTATCGTGTCCAATGGTCATCAGAGGGAGCTATGTACATAGTTTATACTTTAAATCTCCAAGAATCTACTTTCTAAAAACATATATTCTGTGGTGTGTGGATAGAATTGCTTCGTATGCTAGCTAGTGTTTCTGTGCTTTGATTTAGGTCGGTATTTTTCTGTCCTTAAAAAATTCCTCCTTCTGTCTTTTGTACTCACACGCCTATCTCAGTTTGCTTTCAGATCTCTTCTGCAGTTTGGAGGATTCATAGTCTGCTTAGTGCCTTTCTGATGGATATATGAAACATGTGGGTCCATTATGTACTGTGCAGAAGGGTGTGCTGTGGCCATTGTAGATCACGCAGTATATTTTTATACCATGGACTTGAAAAGAGGAACAACTGCACAGAAGATCACTGAGATTTTTATTTGATCAGCCACTAGGTGAAAATGAGAATGTATATTTGGGTGTTTCAAAGTCTGACGTTCAAACACAACCTTTATCAGCATGAAGGAAAAATTACTACTAGGGAGCAGCCTTCCTTAGCAGACGTTATTAGTTCTTGAAAGTCGCAACATGAGAATGAAAAGTGGCAGCAATGCAAGAAAAACCCTTATGCTGCATTGCATACCAACCAATGGGCGACCAGCAGGCTTAAAATATAGACAATCAAAATAATGGGTAGATATGCCTGGTTTTCTGCTTCCGTATGCTTATTTCCATCTTTGGCACCAGTCTGCTATCCAAAGTCCATGTTCCACTTCAGCCTTAAATTCTGTTGAGTTTCTGGTAAATGTATTTGTAAAACATACTGAAGCTGAGTTTTCAATAGCTCCTTATCCTGTTTAATTTCCACACTGTTGATGTGAATATACCCCAGCCCCTTGAGTAAATAACAGTAACAAGGAAAGTTTGGAATTAATCCACGCATTAAGAATAGTTTACTTGCCTTTAGTTGTCTATACTTGGTAATACAATGCAGTTTATCATTCCCTGCTTTTATCGCACCCCCACTCCTTCCTCTCTGCAGAAATGGGTAACAGTTACTTCTTAAAAATGAAGTAAATTGTAGAGGCAGTTAAAAATCATAGGGAGTACATATGTGCCACCTTGTTGTGAGGGGGACATAAGTAAATTGGGGGTTTTCCCTGGAGTGATCCAAAATGAGCATAAAGGTGTATGGCACCAGGCAACCTTGTATTACTCAGCCTTCCCTCTACACAAACACAGAGAATGAGTCATTTCCTTCCTTAACATCCTCAACTTCCTTCTCAGCTGCTCACTTGGATTAATCCCATTTGTCACTCGCTTTGCATTCTTTTTTTAACCATTTTCACTCAAAGTCCAAAGTTGATCAACTTTTCTTGTTATTATCTCCATTTCAGCATATGGGGCTGTTCCCCCTATTCTGTGGCTCAGCCTAGTTTTCCTAGTTCAGCAAAAGGCTCAATATACGCACCTTTACGATGCGAAAGGTCTGGTGCTTAGGGCTTTCAAAGGCTGGATGCCTGCAGTAGATACACAAAAGAAGTGGCTTTCATTACGTTAACCGTTCTAAACTGTGATTACAGCTATTTCCAGTTTGATTTGTATGTTGTCAACCCATGACCACCATTCTGACAAGAAGTGGGGACTGAAGTGATTTATCCCCGTTGCGATTTTTGCCAGTACATTTGCTGGATTTACATCAGTATGTTCTCTGATCCATTCCACAGTCTGAATTCAGAATGATAGCAATGAAAAAAATTCATGGTATTCAAAAGGCTTATCTGTTGTGTATTATAAAGAAAGCAATCGAGGATAAAAGGTAATCTGTGTTTTACTGAGCAAAGTAGGATGCAAGTAGAAATGTTTTGTAAACATTCTGGGTCTTTTACGTGCAATACCAACTTTCACTTTCAGATCCATACTGGTTTTAATTTTTCTTTTTCCTTGCTAAATTATTGTTTCTGACAGTTAGTAACAGGAGAAAAAAAATACGTACCTGAGGTTTGGGTTCCAGAAAGCTGGAGCTACTCATGGTCCAGGCATAGGCATGTTTTTCTCTTGGCTCTGAACAAATAAATCACTTGCTGTAAGTGTGGTTTTTTAAGTGGTGCTTCAGTTCAGACCTTTATGAAGTTACTATTTAGAATAAATGAAAAGCAGTTTAAATAAGGCACTAGCTGTAAGTTTAGTCAGTGAACAAGGCAGTTAATCTTTAGTTACTGCTGATAACATTCATATCCTCACATTTTCTGTTATAGAATAACTTTTTTCCACAATGCTTTAACTGCAGTTTTATTTAATCACACAGTTTTATGTGTTGCTACACAACAAGTACAGCTGCATATTTTTTAATGAAAGGATGCCATCTTGATCTGCGTATGCAAGTCAGGATTCTTTGCATAAATCTCTGGTTGCTTGAATGATCCAACCCACTTCTGTTTAAACCAAGCATAACTAAGATCTCTCTCAAAGTGAACTGGTTTAGTTTTATGGAAGATTTAGCTTGACTAGCACTTCTTCCTCTATCTTCTTACAAACGTGCATGCCCAGGGCTTTGCAAATCCAACCCCAAGCAAGTCCTTAATGATATATAGAAATTGTCCACCTAAAATGCTAGTGATTTTGCATTTCTTTGGTGAGATCGTATTTGAAGAAATGTGTTAAGGAATCGGGACCACATGAAACATGAAAATGTGCAAAATACACATGCTGTAAGCCATCCTTTAATATTTAAACCCGCCCCCTTTACGTTAACCCGTGCATTGGTTCCTGCTTCCTAGTTGATAGTTGTCCACAGCATTGCTACAGTGCACATGCTGAAAAGAGGAAAGTGGAAATGAATTGCAAGCACTTTGCTTCCAATTATGAAGATGGTGCGTAGGCCTCCGGTTCAAATAGAAAGAGCTTAATAAAGTCTATCCCCTTTTCCCTCACATAGGAAATTACTTTTTGTCCTTTTAGATGAAAATATGACTATAGGGATGCATGCTTTTCTCATCTCCAGGCTGGCCTGTTGTAATATGTACCGCCCAGGTTTGGCATTGGGTCATGAATGTGACTTTTTAAAAAAAAACTCCATTTTGTCCAGCTTGCCCTCAGGGCAACACATACCTGCTAAGAAACTATCATTCTGCTGCTCCTTGTTCCCTGATCCATTTAAAATTTGCTTTAGAACATCTTCCAGAACTTTCAGAATTTGAGACAGTAGGAAGATAAAAATCTCTGTATCAGACTTTAAACCTAAGATACTGGGTTTTAATGCCCTGCGGCAATAGCTAAAATGGGATTGGAAGGTCCTATGGCAAAAATTCCACAGATGTGAGGGTGCTAAATGTTCTCATGGTTAAATCCTTATCCTTAGTTCCCTGATCTCAGAAATCAGGATTAGATCAAGGTTGACTTTTGCTACACGCAAAAGATACAAGAAAAGTGCTACTGTTTGTGCAAATCTTCCGTCAACATTGGTATCTGAAAAACACTGCAACATGCATGCAAAATAAACTCGCTTAACAAGGCAGTAAAAACAAGGGAGATGAGGAATATGGCACTGCAGTTTGGTTTTATCTTTTCAGGTAGTAAACTTAAGTGTAAGCTTAAGATTAAAAACCATAATTATAAAGCCTTTGTCTGCCTGACTATAAGAATGTCTCTTTGGATTTGGTAACTGGTATGGGTTATTAAAATCGTATTGAAAAGACGACAATAAATTTTTCCTAGTGATTTTCAAAACAGATCCCTTAAACGTCATTCATTTCTTTGTTTCTTCCTATTCATCCAGATCATATTGAGCTGATTTAAATCTACAGGAAAATTGGAATGGGATGCTGTAGATCCTTAAAAAAACAAAACAAAAAAAACCCAAACAAAAACAAACCCAAAAAACAACCAAACTGTCAAATAGTTGACAACTATATAACAACTACCTTTTTTGTTAATTAGCTACAGCAAATGTTTTTTATATGGCTTATTTTAGGGAAAAAAAAGGCTGGGAATACCTTAGCTCAGTCAGTAATAAACTTAAAAGGTAAAGCCAGCCAGGCTTTTTTCACTAGGACGATGGAGTGTCATGATACTGACTTTTGAAGGAGATAGAATAAAAACAGAATGCAGTGGCAGTCGGATGAATCCTTCCTTTCTGGATGGGGTTTGCACAGTATATGGCTATGATAGGTCTCCTTGTTATTCATAGCTTGATAACCCTCAACTTCAGGGAATCCTACTTGTGATGACATCAGGACACTCAGACTGTGATTCTCATAACCTAAGATGATGTCACAGAATTGAATTATAACAGTACTTTTTTGGTGGCGGTACCAAAAATACAGAACTGATACGAGTAAACACTGAGGAGAACCATTTGGTTCATCTTATTTATTACCAAGTATGAAGTTCGGAGGTCTCTCTTTCTGAAGTGATACATACGTTTGTATTCAAATTTTACTTCTACCAAAATACTTCCCATGTAGTGATTTCTTCTGCCTGATTTTAAATGTATTCTTTTTAAAAAAACCCAGATGTGTAGCATCTTTTTATATACACAGATGATTGGAGAAGAATCAGCTTTAAGACCTAGATTTGTGGAATTTTGCTGAAGTATCTTCTTAAAAACTTGCAGAAAACTATTGTTCCTATGACTTTACATGTAATCATTAAATTTTACAATAGTAGCAATAAATATAAAATAAGGTATTCATGTTTAGCTTTTAACTCAGATTGTAGCTATACATAGGTATGAATATTGCATATAATTCAAGACTGGATTATGCAAATTCCTTCTGTGTTTTTTTCTTTTCTTTTTAAGTGGCCAGACAAGCTAGCCATTTTTAACCCTTCACATAGGTCCATATATGGCATAACTATTATTGTAATTTACTTGTTGGTTAAACGTTTTATAAAAACATATAAAAAAGAATTTACAAATAAC